ATATTAGTGCTGTCAAACGATTAATCGCGATTAATCACATCCAAAATAAAAGTTTTTGTTTACATAATATGTGTGTGTGTGCTGTGTATATTTATTATGTATATATAAATACAAACTCATGCATGTATATATTTAAGAAAAATATGTTATGTTTATATATTAAATATATTTATATATAATATAAAATATACAAATATAAATATATAAATGTGTATGCATGTAAATATTTCCAAAATATATACTGTATGTAAGTGTATGTGTATATATACATAATAAATATAATATAACAGTACACACACATATATTATGTTAACAAAACCTTTTAATTATATTATAAAAGTTTTATATAGAATAGAATAGAAAATAATAGAATAGAATAGAATAGAATAGTTGTGGGGCGGTACCTTTACAAAAGGTACACATTTGCACCATATTTACCCATAGTGGGTGCAAATTATTACCTTAAACGTACATATCAGTACCTAAATGAGATATTTCAGTAACTTTTGTAAGGGTACCCCCCAATGACAGCTTTTGTATCTTTTTTCTGAGAGTGCAAGGCTTTGCAATGCATTCATGATCTATGTAAAATGCAAGATTAACTATAAAGCACCAAACACCCTTTGGCTTTACCCCTGAATTCCATTGCCGTGAGTCTCATTTCCTGTCAATCTCTTTGGCTCTACGGCTCACTAGTTTGAGTCTTACTGTCTTTCCTACTGAATCTACAGTACCTTCCTTTCTGCATTAAAATCTCCCAGCATCTGTGTTTCAGAGCAGACATTTTTTCCTGTTCGAATTGTGAATACAGCAGACTCATTCTAGGCTCTCTGTTGATTTTCCGAAAATCCTGCCAATGAAAACATAAATTCCCCAATCCTTTTAGCATCCGGTTAACACATCAGAGTTGCAGAACGAACCCTGAGGAACTTGTGACTGTAATGACCGCCAAACTTACAACTGTATAAAACGATTTGAGCATTCAGAGATTCGGTACGTTCAAATCAAAGAAAATAAATTAAAGAAATGAATTACTCTTTTTCTGCTTTCTGTACATTCTCTGTATTTACTTTCTTTTCTCAAAGATAGTCTCCATGGCTCAAAAGGGGTGTTATTTGTCATGCTCGACCGACTTAATTTCTTATGTTCTATTTGAAAATTATGTTGTTAAATATTCATGAAAACCATCTTATGAAAGACTAAGACTGTAAAGCTGTCTGATTCTGTTATACAATATGTTTAACATCGCATGACATGCACCAAAAACACCAACAAAGCAATAGAGCTCCAAAGCTATACTCTCTGACACAGAAGAACCGCCAAAGGTAAAGTTGTGGATGGTAATATTTATTCGGCCTATCACACACTTCATTATCTGAATCTTCTAGAGTTTTTAATGATCATCCAATCCCAAATTGCCATAAAAAGATCATATCCGCGTAATGAAACAGCAGGACATCTGCAGCACTCAGTGCCCACATCTCACCGCGGTCCTGTGGAATCCATTAAGGAGAAAAGCGGTCGCTGTGGAGGGAGCAGAGAATATATTGATCCTCAAATATTTAGATTCATGTTTGTGCGAACCAGAGCTTAGATTGGTATGCAGAGGATAGACAGTGTTTGTTGGTTCATTTGATCTTTGCTTGTGTCAGAGAGAATCAGAGAAAGGAACATGGGAAGAAAGTCCACAGTGTTTGATGAGGGTAGAATGACAGATCACATTTAACGATTAATGATGCTCATGGGTTGTTTGTGTGTTATGTTGCAATGTCTATGCAACAAAACTGATATATGTGCCAATCTTTGTGTGATAAACCAATATTGTATGCTTGATCCTTTTTTATGATATTGTTATGGTATTATTTAGTTCTTATTATTGAAGCACTCAAAACCAGTTTCTCACAATGCATTTCCTCTAGTGACGGGGGTTTTGATTAAGTGATTCAAATCTTTTGAATTCTCTAAAAGATTCATTTAGGTTTGACCACTCATTTATTCACTAAAAGATTTGTTCATGCAAAAGATTTGTGCAGTGACCCTTTCTGAGTGAATAATTTAGTTAGTATTAATTTATTACTTAGGAATCACTTATGTACTGTCTTTATCCAAAAGTTGCATGTCACTCAGAAAAAAGATACAAATCTGTCACTGGGCTGGCACCATGTCGAAAGGTGCTAATTTGTACACTTTAGGTACTAATATCTACTTTTACTAATATGTTCCTTAAATGTTTTAATATATACCATTTAGGGGTAAAAAGGTACAAAGATATACATTTTAGCTTTTGTACCTTAGGGGACCCGTCCCAGTTACAGCTTTGTAGCTTTTTATTTATTTATTTTTATTTTGAGAGTGTATGAATCCACTGAGAGACTCCAGAAAGTGTTTAAGAATCATACATATAAGTGCTTCCCCCAGCAATGACAACATAGCAATTAATGGCAATAATGTGTGTGTGTGTGTGTGTGTGTGTGTGTGTGTAGGTGATCAACGCTATAGAGCAGGATTACAGGCTGCCGTCCCCCATGGATTGTCCCACTGCTCTCCACCAACTGATGCTCGACTGCTGGCAGAAAGATCGGAACGCTCGGCCGCGCTTCACGGATATCGTCAGTACGTTTGACAAACTCATCCGCAACCCCACCAGCCTTAAAGCAGTTGCCAGTATACCCACTATGTGAGTCAAACAAACTTATTATACACACATTTTGTTTTCATACTATGGTGGAAACCTTTATTTATGCTAACAAGTTTGGGGGCTTTTTTATTTTCCAAATGCACAAAATAATGATCTTTAAAATAGCATCATATGACCCCTTTAATATTTTTATTCAGAAAGGACTTTTGCATTGCTACAAAATATTTTTTTCAAAAAAAAAAAAAGTTATTTTGAACTTTCTATTCATCAAAGAATCCTGAAAAAAAGTATCATGGTTAACATAAAAATGGTGAGCAGCACAAATGTTTCCAACTTTGATAATAATAAGGAATGTTTCTTGAGCAGCAAATCAGCATATTAGAATGATTTCTGAAGGATCATGTGATGCTGAAGACTGTCGTAATGTACAATATATTAAAACAGTTCACAAACCCTAAACATTTAGTGTGTTTTCATATTAAAAAAGACACTATTTAGTCCACTTATGAAGCTGTTTTCTTTCTGGGAGCAACAAGGTAGGTTGTCCCTACAAAGACAGCAGCCATGACACCAAGGTTGGGTGATGTAACTCCTCTTTTTCCCTGCATCTCACTCTCTCTTTCTCTCTCCTCCTCCAGTCCGTCCCAACCGTTGTTGGACAGGTCCATCCCAGACTTCACCACCTTTAGTTCTGTAGAGGATTGGCTGGCTGCTGTCAAGATGTCTCAATACAGAGACAACTTCCTCAACTCTGGCTTCACATCCCTACAGCTGGTCACCCAGATGACTTCAGAGTGAGTGTGAAGTTTTAAGTGTCTTTTCTAAATAATTTGTACAATTTCTCAACATTGGGGTTTCTTTATTGTCAATAAAGGTCTTAAAAATCCATGTTGGCATTAGATGGTCAAACTGGTCAGCCAGTCCAAGCCGGAATGTGGTTCTATCCAGGCTGACCAACATGACCTATCAGGTCAAACATGGCCCCACCATCTGATTAACCAACTAATAAACCACCTTCTAGTTTCTAAATAAGTTTGTCATCCAACTCATAAACCAACCAAACCAGAACCAGCTTAGAACTGTCTAAAGCACTGTTTTTAAATAAATTGGAAAAACCAGGCTAGATTATGGTGGTTAAACTAGTCAAACATTCTGAAGTATTCTGAAATGTGGTTATCCAGCTCCTCATTAGCTTAGCCAAGATGGTCCATCAGCTTTAACCAGGTTGACTGACATGGTGAACTTGGCCCCATCAGCTAGTCATACAACTAGTCAACCTAGTCAAAACTAGCTTGGACCAGTAGATGATCAGTCTCGCAGTTTCTAAAGTTCTTATATTTATTAGGCTTTTATCATTGTTACTAAAGCTTTTCACTGCTGGTAAATCCATACTGTACCAGAGAGTTTTGAAATATGGTTAGCAATCTCTTCACCAGCTTGGTCCACCAGCTCTAACCAGGTTCACCGACATGGTCAAATTGGCCCTATCATCTAGTCATACAACTAGTCAACAACCTAAACCAGCTAATGACCAATCTAACATTTCTAAAGTTGTCCATTTCTAAAGTAACACCAGGCCGTACATACCAGCTTAAGGTAATTAAACTGGTCAACCATTCAGTGTTTTGAAATGTGGTTAGCCGGTTCTTCACCTTCTTAGCCAAGATGGTCTACCAGCAGTAAATTGGTTGAATTAACCCCATCAACAGATTATACAACTAGTCAACCACCTAATTGCAACCTTATTTCTCGAAATTGTGACTTTTGACCTCACAATTGCAACTTTATTTCCTGTTTTAAACTTCATCACTTAGTTTCCTGATTCCTGAGTTGAAAACAGGCTTTCATATGTCACACTGTTAACAACATCTGTTTCAAAAATCATTATGTTTACAACAATTATGTGTCTTATTCAGCTGTCCTGTCATATTATTGGTTTATTTTAGATGATGTCTAATGCTTTGTGAGTTGGTTTGTTGTGTCTGTGTGAAGGGTGATTAAAGCTGGTTTCAGATTTCCAGACAGTCATTGATCACAGAATGCCAAGCGGCCAGATATCTCAGCAAACTTGTTTAATATCGATTTATGAACCATACATTAGGATTAGCATGAGTCGCTATGGTATGTGCGTGTGTTTTGACTTGTTTGAGTCTCTATCGAGCGAACAGGTGGATATGCTGTTGATGATGTTTAATACACGTCTCCAGGAAGCGTACTGTGAGGTGTAGCGTCTCTGACGGTCTGATTAATGTAGCCGCCGCTCACAGAGAGGGTCTGCGCTTAATTAGCAACATAAGTATGAGCCCACGCATAAACAGGAAGTTAAATGCAAGGAGCTTTCATGTGTTAATGCTGTTTGCTCTCACATCATAAACCTGTAGGGGCTCTGAGGTGTTTTTCTCTCTCTCTGGGTTGTTTGAATGGTTCGTATATTGATAGTACAGGTTGTTCTCATTCAGAATAAAAGCTTCTGTCAGAGGATAGTGGAGTAAATTGAGCGTTTATTCAGAGTTGCTCTTTTGTCTATGTAATTTAAAGGAGGCAGTGAAACAGTCACCTAAAATCAGATGCTGTAGCAGACACGTCTTGATCTTACTTGGCCTTTTGATGTACTGTACTGACCATTACGCTACTAACAGGAAGATGTGCTTGTCAAGAGTTGCTCAGTGAATGTTTTCCTGTACCATCTGGCAAACTGCTTTTAGTGTATTTTAATTTTTACTACTGCTAGAGTAAAAAAACAAACAAAAACGTTCATTAGTATGGATTATATTGAAGGCAATAATATGTAAATATGTGTGTGTGTGTGTGTGTGTGTGATTTTTAAAATATTTTATTTTAAGTTTTATATTTTTGTGAATTGTATATTTTATTGTTGAATTTATATTACTGTTCATTTTATATACTTTGTGAATTGCTCATTATTAATTCATAGATTTATAATACATTTTTTAATGTTTAAATGTTAACAATGTATTAGTAAGTGTACAAATTAAAAATTGCTGTGAAAGTATTGTTAATTGTTAGTTCATGTTAGCTACTGCATTTCATTATTGCAACTAATGTTAACCTATACAGTCTTATTGTAAAGTTTTATCAGTTCATGTGTACAGCCTCAAAAAAAAAATTTGATTTAAGGCAAAATGTCAAATTTCAGCCATATTTAGTTGAGATGTGAATGTAGTCTGAGCATCAACCAATGTGCAATGATAACAGCAGCTCCTTTAACTTGGAAAGGTATTGTTAAAGTATGTTACAAATGACTGTTCAATTAGGAAGGAGCGATGCAAATGTATATTATACAGCTATTTAGTGTCTGCTTTGGAGGTATTTGTCATGGTTGTGTACTGCATTTGAATGTGTGTCCAGTATTAACTGTAGTTATGCATTCTTCTTGTGTTCACAGGGATCTGTTGAGGATAGGTGTGACTCTAGCCGGCCATCAGAAGAAAATCCTCAACAGCATTCAGTCCATGCACCTGCAGATGTCCCAGTGTCAGACGGGCACAGCGCTGGCATGACTACAGGGGGCGCCAGACGACGGGCTGGGCAGCTTGCGTAAGAATTACCAGCGGGTGAGCCCAATCCCATCGGAGCGCGCAAGAATAGAGACTATCATCCTGATCTGAGAACATGTTTCAGGAGAGGAACCATTATCCCATATCCAACAGACCAGATCGGAACAGGACCACCGAGACTCGCAGGACATCTGTTAACCCGTCGGCTGTTTGTCTCTTTGGGCTACATTTACAGGGAAAACCGAAGAAGCGGACTCTTTTGTCCTCTTCTTGTCATTAATTCTGTTTTAGTTACCTTCGTGTTGCTTATCAAAAACATCACAATGACTATTCCGATTCTGAGACGTCTACAACGTTTTCTACAAGGTTCTTTCATTCTTCTTTTTTTTCCACTATAAACCTTCTATCGTCACTGCTTACCACTTACACTACCTGTCGATCTCGGTATGGCTGATGTTGCCAAAGGACATCCTGTATGCCTGCGTCCCATCCCTAGGCCATACAAGCATAAATAATGTATATCTTTAAATAAATACGAGTATATCTTCAGAGTAAACCTTCATATTGAAGGTGAAGTGTAACGGACCTTTATGTAAATACCCTCTTCTTCCGCTTGCATTTTTGGCAATGTTGCGCGTTGGATCAGAACCGCCGATTCTGCAGGACACGGACTCGCTTACATCAGCGCGACGCCACGAGAACAATCTGGGATGAACTCTGACTCTGTCAATGTTGTGTAAATATCAATTAGTTGTGTATAAACTAGCGTTAAAAAGATATACTTTAGGTGAAAAAAGCTACGCATTCAGGCCACTAAACAGTGTTTATTGTAGGTGTTACCATGCTGATGAGCACTTCCGTGTACAGCTTTTCTTTCTTCCACTTCTTCTTCTACTTCTTCTAGTCGTTCTTGTTAGTTTTGTGTCAGAGTGTTTGAATGCGTCGACTAGCATTGGGGGAGGGTGCGTAGTCACCGCCTAAACTAGCTAGTACACTTAAATGTAGTTCCTCTGTTAATAAGCTGTACTAATGTTGGTCTTACAGGGTCTTTAAAACCGCTAATCTGTTTCCAAGCACGTGTTTACATAAGCGAACGGAAAGGTTGCAGACAGGAAACGAAGAGACTTGCGAAACCGCTGCCCTTTACCAATTTTATCAGGCCGAGTCACACTCTCGGCTCTAGATGTTTCTGGATGACATTGCTAAATGCGGTACATGTTCTTTCATGCCATCAGCTCTCCATTTATTTGTGTGTGTGTCTGGATTGAACATCTGTGTGACCCTTTATGAACAGATGCCTAATGCCACCCCATTGAGCACATTCTACTTAAGCAGTCAGTGAAGCACTGGGAAACACACACACACAGGCTTTTGATGGCTTTGGGCTGTTACTTTTTGGTTGCCATGAAGAAATAGCATCAGCTTATTGACGATGATAATAATATTATAGGTAACACTATACAGTAAGTTCTAAGTTGTCAACAATAGTAAATGCATTATGGATGTATGAACTAACATTTAACAATACTTGAAAAATGTTTAATGTTAGATTAATGTTAATTTCTGAAAATGCAAAACATTTTAAGATTTCAGGTTGTATGAATGGATATGAACATTGAATGAACATGAATTAACAATGAACCACAGTGTGTTTATAATTTAATCTAGATTAGTAGATGCTGCAAAAAAAGATGCAGTTCATTTTTCATGATATACTGTATATGCATGAACAAATGTTAATGAATTAAACATGATTGTAAAGTGTTACAAATAATATTAATATTGTATTTGTATAGCATAAAATGTAGCTAAACGTGCTAAACAAATCAGAATATCATTTTAATAAAAAACAGTAAGATGAAAAAAGCAACAAACTAGAAGTGAAAAGTGAATTTAAATGTTAAAAGTAAAGTTAAATTCAGTGCAATTACATAGAGAGACCTAAAATACTCAAAAGGCAACTTAAAAATAAATAACCAAACAAATAATTTTGAATCATTGTGTGCTGCAAATATGGTTGGCTTTTATGATAAAATTCCTCATTTGTAAGTTTATTTGGACAAAAGAGTCTTGTATTAATAAATATAAATATAATTGGTAAAAGGTTCCAGATTTGAGGGTCATAATGGCTAAAAGCAGCTCTGCATGATCTCATAAGGTTTAGCATTAAAGAACCCCAATGTGAGATTTGAAACATAACGGTTTGTAGAGGTTAGCAGCTGTACCATTCATTTGCCTGTTGTGAATCGTGTGTGTGTGTGTGTGATGAATAAGCTGCTACATTGCCTGTAAGTTAATGAGACTCATGGTTTATGGTTATTCTCTACAAGCAACACACACACACAATCCATCTCACAGATATACCCAAGGTGTTGCACCTAATTGGCTACAATGAATTTCACCATGGCAACCAAAGAGTGTTTTGGCTTTTTGTTAAGGACGACATGCTTTTACAGCTTCTGCCAAGAGGCTTATTCTTTTGCGTGCACACACACAGTCCTCAGCTGTATTCCATTGAAGAAAGTGAATCTGTTCCTTCATACGACGGTGGTAGCGATAATGTCTGGCTCTTATACGAGCGTTAGCACTAGATGACGACGTCTTCCCCTGCGCAAAGGACTGGAGGCAGCTCAATTAATGATCACAAAGTATCCTCACCGTGGCCCGCGTCCAGCTCGTTCGCAGTGGGGCGTAACCAAGCTGTCCGGCGTCCTGCCGTATGGCCCAGCTGAAAAATGGCTGACTTGCTCTCATCGCCGTGGACACTCTGGGGAAGGTGGAGCCTGCTGGGATACCTGCGGGTACAGCACACAGACTGATGAGAGTGATGAATGAGCTGGAGCGAGACAGAGAATGAAAGAGAAAGCGAGAGCGAGAGACAGTAGATTGTGCAGGATAGGGAAAGAAATGAGAAGAAATGGGGAATAAAGAAAGAAGAAAGTGACAGACATTAGAGATTAGAGTATTAAATCAGGATGAAATTAAAATTTGACCCTATTTTCTTTCTAACTATGTTTATTTCAACTTCTCCCCCCCCAACCACGTGAGTTATTCTCTATTATTTTCACAGTCCAATCATGGTGGTTAAAATTAAGTTCCATCATCATATCCTGTTTCATTTATAATTACTGCATATTGAAGTGCAATGGGTTGCAAAAGGCATTTCATGTTGACTGTAAGAGAGAGGGCTTAAAGTATAACAGTGGTTGACCAATATGGGTTTTTGAAAATGGAAAATGCCAATACTTGTGATATTTCAGTTTTTCTTTTTTAATAAATCTGCAAAAATGTCAACAATTCTGTGTTTTTCTGTCAATATGGGGTGCTGTGTGTACATTAATGAGGAAAAAAAATTAACTTAAATGATTTTAGCAAATGGCTGCAATATAACAAAGAGTGAAAAATTTAAGGGGGTCTGAATACTTTCCGTACCCACTGTATATACAACAGTTCAAAAATTTGGGGTCACTAAGATGTAGATGTATATTTTTGAAGAAATTAATACTGTTATCCAGCAAGGATGCATTTAAATGATCAAAAGTGACAGTAAAGACTAGTTTATGGTTAAGACTAGTAGTATATATACAGCCGTGTCCAAAAGTTTTGAGAATGACGCAAATATTAATTTTCACAAAGTCTGCTGCTACAGTGTTTTTAAATCTTTTTGTCAGATGTTACTATGGTATACTGAAGTATAATTACAAGAATTTCATAAGTGTCAAAGGCTTTTATTGACAATTACAATAAGTTTATGCAAAGACTCAGTATTTGCAGTGTTGACCCTTCTTTTTAAAGACCTCTGCAATTCACCCTGGCATGATGTCAATCAACTTCTGGGCCACGTCCTGACTGATGGCAGCCAATTCTTGCATAATCAGTGCTTGGAGTTTGTCAGAATTTGTAGGTTTTTGTTTGTCCACCCACCTCTTGAGGATTGACGGCTGAGAAGCAACCCCACACATGAATGGTCTCAGGATGCTTTACGGTTGCCATGACACAGGACTGATGGTAGCGCTCACCTTTTGTTCTCCGGACAAGCTTTATTCCAGATGCCCCAACCAATCAGAAAGGGGATTCATCAGAGAAAATGACTTTGCCCCAGTCCTCAGCAGTCCAATCCCTGTACCTTTTGGAGAATTTCAGTCTGTCCCTGATGTTTTTCCTGGAGAGAAGTGGATTCTTTGCAGCCCTTCTTGACACCAGGCCATCCTCCAAAAGTCTTGGCCTCACTGTGCGTGCAGATGCACTCACACCTGCCTGCTGCCATTCCTGAGCAAGCTCTGCACTGGTGCTGCCCCGATCCCACAGCTGAATCAACTTTAGAAGATGGTCCTGGCACTTGCTGGACTTTCTTGGGTGCCCTGAAGCCTTCTGCACAGCAATTGAACCTCTCCTCTTGAAGTTGTTGATGATCCGATAAATTATGGATTTAGGTGCAATCTTACTAGCAGCATTATCCTTGCTTGTGAATCCCTTTTTGTGCAAAGCAATGATAACTGCACACGTTTCCTTGCAGGTAACCATAGTTAACAGAGGAAGAACAATGATTTCAAGCACCACCCTCCTTTTAAAGCTTCCAGTCTGTTATTCTAACTCAATCAGCATGGCAGAGTGATCTCTAGCCTTGTCCTCATCAACACTCTCACCTGTGTTAATGAGAGAATTACTGACATGTCAACTGGTCCTTTTGTGGCAGGGCTGAAATGCAGTGGAAATGTTTTTGGGATTAAGTACATTTTCATGGCGAAGAGGGACTTTGCAATTAGTTGCAATTCATCTGATAACTCTTCATAGCATTCTGGAGTATATGCAAATTGCCATCATAAAAACTGAGGAAGCAGACTTTGTGAAAATTAATATTTGTGTCATTCTCATAACTTTTGGCCACGGCTGTATATATATATCAAAATGTATATGTCAAAGAATCCTGGATACATTTTTTTTTTCAGCATTGATAAGAAATATTTATTGAGCAGGAAAGCAGTATATTCAATTCTAAAGGATATTCATTTCTAAAGGATCCCTAGACACTCAAGACTAGTATAATGGCTGCTGAAAATTATATTTTAAAATATATTAAATAGAAAATAATTTTTAATTATAATATTTATTCACAATAGAATTTCCTTTTACTGTATTTTTGATCAAATAAATGCAGCTTTGGTGAGCATAAGATACTTCTTTAAAAATAAATAAATGAATAAATAAAAATCTTATACAGACCTGACACTTGTCCAGTTAAAAACTTTAAATTTTGTAACTGATGCAAAGAGGATCTGCCATTTCTGTTAATCAGTTATGTGTACACGCTAAATGGTCAAATAGTCAGCCTGGTCAATATACCCATTCATCTATCACTATGTTGGCCTAATAACAGCAGCACTTCTCCATCTGCACAGACAGACTGAAGCTTCATCATAACGCACATGTACAACCATTACAGATGTAGTATATGATTTATATTTGAATATGTACATGAACGCTATTGTTTCTAATGCGAATGTGTCTCTTTTAAACTCTCATTCTGCACAAGTCCAACAATTCAATCGAGGATCATCTTCATCTCTTGCTCAAGGGTATCATCCTCCTCTCGGAGGGTTGAGGGAACAGGCAGGGAGTGAGAGGATGAACGGAAATGATTTGTGTCTAATTTTATCGCTCTTTGCCTGGAGTGTCGACACATTGTGGAATCTGGTGCGCGTTTGGCAGCGGATCAGCGGCGATGCTGTTACCGTGCCAACTGAAGTCTGAGCGGTGCATGTGTTCACTAGCGCGGCTCAGACTTCACAAGTGCAAACAAAAAGCAAGTTTGGAACAAACAAAAGCATCGTCTCACATCGCCTGTAGGAACGAGCCCCCGATTTGTATTGTTCTTTTTCTTCCGCGCGCTTCAAACGACACATTCATGTTAAAATGATGGAGCATTACTTTTGACAGACGATATTAAAAGCCAGAGAGTCAAAGGGTTCGAGAGACTGTTGATATTACTAGCATGGCATGGATACTAGCTCACACTGTTTTGTAGATACCGAACGAAGGAAAGCCCCCCTCACCTCACCGAGGCTGTATAGTTAACACTCGTTTCTTGTGATGAGTATGTCAGAGTTTGAAACTGTAACTTTCTGAGAACTATTGTACTGAAATGCACTCAATAAAGACCTTGGAAAAGCTGAAGTCGAGCGAGTGATATGTTCATCCGGAGAGCACTCTTGATATGAGGCACAGGCGTGGGTCAACCGTGTAGCCTCTCCGCTGCTGTTGAAAAGGGAGCGCGCGCGCACGCGTGCGTGTGTTTGCGAGAGATGTTAGGAGTTTGCATACGCTCTCGAGACCCTCAAGTCTTGAAGACAATGGCTGCATCCGAAAACTTAGGCAGCTGACTTGCTGCCTCTCTGCCGTATGAGGCAATGACTTTGCAGGCAGCGTTTTTGCATGGCACCTCATGAAACT